TAATGAAATACTATCTGCAATAATACTGTTTGTTAAAATTCTTTACTGCATTATGTTTTCCTTTAAATAATATATTATTAAATATTTTTTCGAATTTGATTCTGTCATTGATTACATGTGATGACTAGAGTTTGTAGGTCTAGGTTTTATTTGACTTAAACGTAGTGATTTATATTTTTGGCCAATTAGACCAGTTTATAATTCATTGTTTGAGAACGTCTTTTGCGAGCTAATTGATTGAAAATAACGTCATTGTCAGATTACAATAATAGCATTTATGGCATAGATAAGATGACACATGCCAACATACATACTTCCGTGTTTTAAAATTTATTATAGCTATTGTATTCTGCATTAATTTATGATCTTAATATTTTTACATTATTTAAGAGAAATTCATACCGATGCCAAAATTAATAATGGGTCACTTGCTAGGAAAATCCTCATTTGAAAACAAGTACGAAATGGTGATTTTTCTATCAAATGACCTGAAAATTTTAATATTTAAATGTCAATTGCAGATAACAATAGCACTATGAGAATTTTTGAACCAATAATAGTGCAGTCCTCAAATTTTGACATTTTACAACCATCAAGGAAAACTGTGTTTTGAGCTTCTGCGTTTATAATTTAACATTAACAAACTCAGCCTTGAAAAATCATATTGGCGATAAAATGAAATAATTATGTATAATTAATCATATGATTAGATTTTTAGAAGCCATTAAAACAAAGTGCAAAGCCCAATTTTTTGTTGTTTGCTAGCGAGCCAACCAAATGTTTTTAAATTGTACTGTACAAATCTATAGTAAATTCTTAATAGTATGGGCAATTTTTGAATCCGGACCAAAATGTTATTACATTATATAAATTGGTCCGGGTTTAAAATAATTACCCGTAAAGATTAGCCTATATAAATGTTTTATAAATATTTAATAATTGTTAATGTGACATAACTCTCACAAGCCATTTGTTTTGCACAAATATAAAAAGCCAACAAACAAATAGTGGCGATATTATCAAAATATTAGTATGAACTAGCGATAGAAAGGATTATTATATTTGAAAATATCTAGGCTTCAAATTTATATTTATAACCAAATAAACTTAGCCTCAAAAATAATATAATTTTTGAGGCTAAGTTTGTTAGATTATAAATTTTAAGCCCAAAATTTAGTTTTTCTAATAATATTTATAAAGTTTTTTGTAAGTTTAATTTAGATATAAATTTTTAAAAACCGTATTGTTTAATTTTTTAAAAATTTAACCAATTAATTATGTCTGATACTGTATCAGAAAATTCTTCTAAAAAAACTAAAAGAGGCCGTAAAGAAGATGATGTTTGGGATCATTTTACTAAAGAATCTATAGGAGAAGGTCACTATTCAGCAGTATGTTCATATTGTTCTGAAAAATGGAGTAGAGGACGACCAGATGAATTAAAATCTCATTTAGCATTATATTGTGATGGTGTACCAAATGATATTAAAATAGAATATTTAGAAATATTGGCTACTATTAGTTCTAATAAAAAATTAAAAAAAAA